GCCACAATGTGGGGTCAGTTGGTCACATTCCTGTATAAAAACTGTGCTTATAAGTTAGACTGTTAGTGCCTGCAGTAAAAGCCTAAAATATGTTGTTAATGGATGAGTAGGTGAGGAGAAAATAAAGAAGAAACTCCTCTTATTTTTACATTTTAGTTACTTGCATCTCTGTACCCATTAACGCAGCCCATAGCTTTTGCCTCTGAGTAAGAAGTAAGGGTAGGGAAGGCAGATCCTTCACAAAAAAGAAGAGAGCGTGCCACTTAGAAATAACCATGTCTTCTCCTGAACATCAGTAGAAACAGAAAATAAAACAACGAAGCATATTGAAAGAACAGAAAATCCTGAGGACCAGAAAATTTAATAAGGCCAGGTAAAACGTGCTTTTGAATTTAAAGATTGTGCCAGGTATTTAGGATGGAGGTATAGTGGCCAAAAGTAAAGTAATTGCTCGTTGAAAAATACTTCTCACCTCAAGCAAAAGTCAAAGGAAGAAAATGATAATTAGAAGATGGTTTAAGATGTAGTGAACATTTATAGAATCCGAGAATGATTTGAGTTGGAAGGCACCTTATAGATCATCTAGTTCCAACCCTCCGCCATGGGCATGGATGTCTCCCACTAGGCCAGGTTGCTCAAAGCCCCATCCAGCCTGGCCTTAGACACTTCCAGGGAGGGGACTTCTATAATTTCTCTGGACAATCTGTTCCAGTGCCTCACCACCCTCACAATAAAGAACTTCTTCCTAATGTCTAATCTAAATCTGCCCTGCTCCAGTTTAAAACCATTGCTTCTCGTCCCATTGCTACACACCATTGTAAACACTCCCCAGTGTTCTTGTAGCCCCCTTTAGGTAACTGGAAGGCTTCTCTAAGGTCTCCCTGCAGCCTTCCCCAGACTGAACAACCCCAACTCTTAGCCCGTCCTCATAGGGAAGGTGTTCCATCCCTTTGATCATCTTTGTGGCCCTCCTCTGGACCCACTTCAACAGGATTCACTTTATCTTAACAGTGTAAAACTTGAGTTCTGTGTTACACACAAAACTGACCCTTACACTCCCAATTTTCCCTGAAGGTTGTTGTGAAAGCTGGTTAGCCAGCAGATTCCCTGGCAGTCTCCCTCCTAAAACCTTGCTTCCCAGGCATTTTTCTGTGTCATGTGTGGGAGGGGTGCCTTATACTTTACTTATACCTTTAATGGTTTTCTGGAAAACATTACCTGTCTTATGGCAGTAGGAAAGATCTTTGAGGGAGATGGGGAGGAGCAGCAGCCACCTCGGTCAGGAAGGTGTTGGCACTGATCCATGGGCTGTTTCTGTGTGTGATGGGATTATGAGGGGATATGCCCTCGCACCTGAGCCCCAGGGTAGTGAAGACAGCTCATGAGGATGCTGTCTCAAGCTTCTGTGTCTTCAAGGCAGCCCCCTTAGAACTGTGTTCAGGTATGATGCTCACACATGCTCTTCCTCCTTTACTAAGAACTCTGCTATTCTGGAGCCTTCCATAGTGACCATGCTTGGCTTTTTTTTTTTTTCTTTTTTTTTTATTTTTGTCTGGGACCTGCAGAGGTTTATGGACTTAAGGCCATTTACCTTTCAGTGAATGACAGCACTGGAGTCACCGTTTTTGGCAGGACCTGTGGAGAAGCAGTCAAAGAAGAGGGAAGGCACTTGCCAATCAGTGAAATCCTTGGGAGTTTGGCCTCTTCTGTCCCTCATCCCCACATCTTGGAATTGCAGAACTGACGAGAAGCTGAGATGCACATTTATGTCATGTAGTTCCCCTAGGGTAGGCAGAGGAAATCAGGATACATACGTTCTCTATCCCATTAAGCCCCTAAGCAATGGTAGTCCAGGTGTGAAGGCTGACAGTGGGGCATAGGTGAGGAACATGTCTTGGAAAATTCCCAGTTATTGCTGTAGATACCTTCACTTCTATTACTAGAAGTAATCTTTGGAGCTCTGTGTGGACTTTTCAGTAAATATATAACTCAGTGTTGAAGCAGTATTAGTTACCTAGTCAGGGTAAGCTTTCTTGACTTTGAAGTGAAAATGAGAGGAGTGTACATTTTTCATGAAGCTGTCCTTCATGAAAGAAGTCTTGATGAAAAATGTCACCTTGATGTGCAGCAGAATATAATTCTTTTTAATTTTCTTATTTGATTTCTCTAAATGCGAATGAACTGGAGATCAGACAACCTTAGCAGATACTCTGATACGACCGGCTGTTTTGCATGATTTTGAGGTGGTTTATCTTATAAGTTCTGGAGGAATTTACTTACCTTTGTAGTATCATATATTATAGATATATATTGAAACTATATTTTCTAACATAATGTGGTTTATAGTGGAAGTATTAGTATGGTGTTGGGTTTGTTTTAAGTTACTAACTTGCTGTGTTGAAGTGAATTACAATAATACAGGGAGAAAATTTTTCAGTTACTGATTATTTGGTGAAATTTGACACAGTTATGGGGTTAGTATTGCATATTGTAAAGAATTATCTTTAATCCTGCTCATCAGACTCCACCTGGAAACCAGTGAACCTGTGGGATATTTTTCAATTTTTGCTAAGATTATACTTTATGTATTATATAATATTATATATTATACATTATAATTTTGCTGTATTGTGTATCTGTTTCTTCTATCTAAAAATGAGTCCAACTTTATTTCTTGCCAATAACTCTACGAAAAAAGGTAGAGGGAGAGATAAGATTCTGTAACTTAGTATGGCAATGTGAGATTAAAAATAAGCATATGGTTTGTAACTTAATTTCATAATGAGCATTTTAAGTAACCTTGGAAAAGCTGAAATCTTCTAGGTAGCTGGGTAAATTTAATGGGTCAGAAGATTGTTCTTCTCACCTTCCTGGAAAGAAGCAGAGAAGGAGAGAGGCAGGGGATGGTTGGCTCCAATGCCTCATCTGTTTTTGGCAGGGTATATCCAAGGAACATTGCTCAACAAAGCTTTTTTTAGTTAGCAGTAAGCAGAGAGATGGAAAGCAGACCAGTCTCAGAAGTGCTGGATCTTTTTCAAAAGAGTGGATGACAGTGTGAAGTGCTAATGCCTTCTTTTGATGAATACGAGGACATCAAACAATGCAGCATTCATTATTTGTTTGTAGGATGCAAGGAAGCTAAAGTCCAGAGAAGAGTTACTGGGAGTCTAGCATCTTGGTATATAGATCATGTGTTAGCATTGCTATAAAAAACTAAGAATTTAATGACCATATAGAGAGACAGACACAGCCTCTCAGAACAAAGTCCTTTCTGCATGAATAAATCTGTTCTCAACCTTTATTTGAATTACTTTTTGCTTCTCTCTCTTATTCCCACCTCCCACAAAAGACCCAGTTAGTAAGTTAGTATTCACGTGCTCTTATGCCCGAAAGACTGTTTATACAATTAGTATGTACCGAGATTTTTAAAGAACTGATCCTGACATAACAGCAGTCTCTTACTCCTGAGTTTTTTTTGCTCTAGTGACAAATTTCACTGAACTGTAGTATGATTGAGCATCTTAGGAAGAGTGGAGTCCTGCTCTGCCTTTACATTTTGCTCTATTTGTCCCCAGTTTGGGATATACTAACAGTCAAAAATAATAAATTTGTATGTCTCCTGTAGTTCTTCTGTCGTCTTTAATTAGTCACTGTCTGAAAGCTGATTTGTGGACTTGCCAGAAGTTTATTGCAGTTCAGTCTCATGTATTTCTCTTTCATATGCTGCAGCACAAGTGGAGGTGTTGTCTGCTGCACTCAGAGCATCCAGTTTGGATCCTCAAGAAGAGACAGTGGCCAGTGTTGGCAAGGGAACGGATTCGCAGACTGAATTAACCATCGATGACCAACAAAATTTTAAACCTATACTGGGTGATATTGTGCCTTTAATTGGTGACACTGTCGAGGTAAGAAGCGAGTTTTGTACTCTATTTTTTTTCCCATTAGGATTTTCAAGGCTCTAGTAACAGAGCTGTGTTTTGTGTTTGTGTGGTAACTGCAGCCAAATGCTTCCTGCTTCTGACTAGTGTGTGGCGTTTGGTTTTATTGGCTGGTATTGAAGTGCTAGCTAGTAAAATAAAAGGAGCTGTGTTGGGTGCCCTTTTTTTTCCAGTTCTGAGCTTGTCCTTGTAAATTCTTGAAATTGTTTCCATTAAAATCTCTGTTGTGACTATCCCATTTTAAGATATTTTAGTGCTGCTGCAGTTTATTACTGTGAAATTGCCTCCGTTAGAACAGAGCTTCCCTCATTTCATCTGGATAAGGAGATGTTTTGTTCCCTGTTGAAATGTTTTACAGTAGTTTGCAGGACCTGAACTCGTAAGTCAGTAATCTAGGATGTTGTATGGACTGCTGAAAGAGTCATAGAATTGTTTTGGTTGGAAAAGACCTTTGAGAGTGCAACTATTAACCTAGAACTGTCAGGTCCACCATCACATAACTAAGCACCACATCTATGCGTCTTTGAAATACCTCCAGGAATGGTGACTCACCTACCTCCTTGGGCAGCCTGTGCCAGTGCTTAACCCTTTCAGTGAAGAATTTTTTTCTTAATGTCCATTGTAAACCCCTGGTGCAACTTGAGGCCATTTTCTCTTGCACTGTCACTTGGGAGAAGAAACCAACCCCCACCTCCTCACAACCTCTTTTCAGGTAGTTGTGGAGAGAATAAGATCCCCCTTCCTCCTCCTTTTCTCCAGAGCAGTTCTCTCAGCTGCTCCTCATAACACTTGTTCTTGAGATCCTTCACCAGCCTCATAGCCCTTCTCTGGACACACTCCAGCACCTCAATGTCTGTCTTGTAGTGAGGGGCCCAAAACTGAATTCAGGATTTGAGGCGCAGTCTCACCACTGCTGGGCACAGGGGAACAGTCACTGCCCTAGTGCTGCGTTGCTGATGCAAGATAAAGTGGATTCTAGCAATTAGTAACATTTTAAAGTTTTTTTAATTCTTCAGCACTGCCCCCTGACCTGACTCAAATCAGTGGCATTTGCTACAGTTTTCTGTTCTGTACTGGTTATTAGGCTAAAGCTACTATGTTTGCTGCATGTAGTGCCACGAGATCTGGTGGTATTAAAAGCTATGGCTGTGTAGGAAGCAATGGTTCCAAAATATACTCAATAAAAGCACAGAAGGTGATTTTGTGGATCTTATTGCCTAAGTGGTATTTTCAAATGAAATTTTGATAAACGTCTTTGAAAAATCTAGGAGTTGACATCAGTCCAGTGCAAACATTTTTCAACCTTCTTTATTCAGAATAGTGTTTGTAGATAACACTTAATTAACTTTTCACCTAAGCTGTTGAACTGTTGGTGAAAAGAGCACCTTTTGGCAAGAGGACTACCATGTAGCCCAAAAACGTGGGGAATGGGGGAATGTGATGTGTATTTGGATACTGCTGTTCATGCACAATCATAATTTAACACTACAAGTGTGTTTGTTTCTTTTAAGCAAACAAACCAACTTGCCCTAATTCCTGAGGTCAGGCTTGATATGTTTATCATAGGATCTGTTGTAATTACTTGTTTCTGATGCTAACCTGTAAAATGATAGTGTAAATGTATCTTCTGTCCTTCTAATTTTTGGGGGTGATGAGGATGGTGTTTCTTCAGAGGGAACTGTCCTGTGTTTTCTTTCTTTGCAGAGTGTGATGCTGACGGAAAGTTCAAGAATCTGTCATATTGCTGGGTTTTACATGTTTCAGATTTAAAAGGATGCTCTTAATCTGTCAGTTCCTTTTTTATACTGGCACTGAATCAAGTCCTCATTTTACAAGTGAAAGGATATTCTAGTAATGACCTAGAATTTAGGAATCATGCTGTGATCTGTTGAGCAAGTGGACTGTTCCCCCTAGCAGTGAAGAGAACTCTGATTTTTGCAGGTGTTTTTTTGTTGGCTTTTTTTTTGCTGTTGAGGGGAGAGCTGTTTTGTTTTTTAAGTCTCAGCGTAGCAATGTATCAGAGCGTACTGGACACTAGAAAAATCTAGCTACAGCATTTTGTATTTGAAAGCAGCCTTCACAGCTGCACACATACCACAAAGCAAAATCACACTTTGCTTGCTCTTCTGCACCCATATGGGTTCCCGAAGGAGTTAATGTACATGTTAAGAGGGATTCTTTATTGAAAGAAAAGCAAATGTAAGCCTCAAGAAATCTCAGTAGATGAGTGTGGGGGTTGTCTTCTTTCTTTATTTTTGCTTATTTTTGTTTGATGTAGAGGGAGAAGGGAAGGAAAAGAAAGAGGAAGGAAACGACTAAAATCAGCTCACCTCCGGCACAAGCACTTCTCTTTAAGAAGAGGGTGGGTGTCGGGTGGAGACGGGACCCCTGACTCTGGCCTCCTCTTTCTTCTCCTTGTTCGGGCCAGCTGCCCTGTCAAGAAGTGCCAGCACAGCTTGTCGTGGTGCTGTGGGCTTTGTGTGCAACCCGTGGCGCAGAGCAGGATCTGTGCAGCACAACCGTGGAGCTCCTGTTTTGCTGCAGCTAAAGAAAACCTCCTGTAAGAGATTTGTAAAGCCATGACAAATACTGTGCATCTCAGAGGTCGATGTTCACCAGTCTGGTACACAAGAAGCTCTCAGGCTAAGCCCTGCTGAATTTTTTATGTCCTGACTCTCTGCAATGCTGAGTTCAGTGTGTGCATGTTACAGGGAAAAAGTACAGATGGAACTTCATGTGCAGGAATAGAGATCCTGCATTGACTTAAATACCAACTGATGCTGTGGTTCTTCTGTACCAAGGCTCTTCCTTTCTGGAATGCATATTTGACTTTAAAAGCGACTGGGTAAAAATGTTCCCATCTGTGACAACCACCAGTATATTTAGTTGTTCAACTTGATCCAATCAATAAAGTATTTATTTTTATCTTTCTTTTTTAAACTTAGCCTTTTAGAGCTGGGGCAGCAGGGATTGTGCAATGGAGGCTTTTCATTTTTATTGCAGCAGAGTGACGAGCGTACAGTCCCATGAACCCGGGCAAGTCACGGAAAGCCCTGTGGCTAAGTTGTACTGGTGGCCTCTTAATGTCTTGATTTGAAAGAAGTCAAAGCCAGTGACTTCCTGGCAAGGCTGAAATGATCTCTTTTTTTTCTGGAGGGAAAAAAGAGAAAAAGAAAAAGGCTAAGAAGGAGTGAAGAATTGACTGGCAAACTAAAATCCTGCAGAGATGGTTTTCAGAGCCTCTGGATGTTTTGTAGTCTGAGTTGTATACTGCTGGGCATGTTTAGTTACTTGCAGTTCTCTTCTTTCCTTGGTCTTTTGACACCTTCTTGCTGCCGCTCGATAAGCCTCACAGGTGACTTGGGCTGCTGTGCCAGCAATATGCAATTGCCTCACAGCTCTGCCTGTTCTTTATCACCTGTAATTATACCTCAGTGACTAAAATTACAACCCAGTGCTTAGATGAAAGCAGCTCACAGAAGAGGAAAAAGCAACTGTCTGAAGTCAAACCAAGGAAGGCAGATGGTGTCCTGGGGTCTTTCTTGAAGAAGTTAACAGGTTGCTGGAAAATTCTCATTGTCAAACCGATCTGAACAGCTGGTAGGGGAGGCATGTTCTTGGTGCTTGTCTTGACCCCAAGAGCTCGTTCTGCAGTGCCTGTGAATAGATAACTTGCCTCATATCTAGCAAAAAAATGCTTTTGTCCTATTCTACCACACAGCAGCCTGATCTGCTTTTCAAGTATTCATCACATACTCCTTGAAATTCACAGTTGATTATGCAAAGTCCATTATATTTGGGGAACTCCACTGGTATAGAAAGTGACAGTGCATCCTCTCAGCAGCACAGTCTGTCATAGCGTGTCAAACCTTTGTTGCTCAGTTGAGTTCCAAAACAGTCTCGGTTCTTACCTTCAGGGCCCAAATGTGTAGCCAGGGTGCTAAAAAATGTTTTAATACAACTCCTAAGAGAGCTGATGAGTAGTGTCGGCAGCTATGAGCCACTAGGACTGTGTTATAAGGTGAAACTCATCTGTAGGAAAAGTTATAAAAAAATGGTATCTAGGAAAGGAGAGCAGGGAAACTCTCATCAGTTTCTACTCTGAAGTGTGAGTGTTTTTGACCTTTTCCTAGCACAATTCCAAAGCAGCAAATCCAACAAATACAGATGTTTTCCCTTTTTCCCTTCAGGGGAGAAGTGATGTGACCCATATGTTAGTCACATTTTCCTCAGTGCAGTCTCAAAGGTACTCCTTTCCTGTGATTTTCGCTCTGTAAGAATCAAAATAGAGCAGAAAAAGAGGAGCCTGTGTTTGAAATTGAAAGTAAAGATTCATCTTACAGACTTCTTGATTTTGGGCTGTAGCAAAATTGTATTTGATATTAAAACATGTATTCCTTTAATCTAAGAAAAAGACTCTGAGGTGAGGACGGCACTTCTTGATGTTGACATTTGTTTTGTGTTTAATCCTTGAGTGTGACTATCTTGTGACTATTTTTTTTTCTTTTACTCATAGAATATGGATTCTACACTTCACTATATTCATAATGATTCAGATTTGAGCACCAACAGTAGTTTCAGCCCTGAAGAAGAAAGAAAATCCAAAGTACAGGTAAATGACAATAACTTCTGTTTTTCCTACATATGTCAGATAACTTATTTTTTCTATGTATATGGGGATTTGTCATTTTTGATTTAATGTAATTTCTATTAAATACGGCAAACCTCTTAAATAAGTAGTTTTAAAATATTCTGTGTTTCCAGAGATAATGGCTTAATTGAGCAGTTGCTTCTGTTTTATTTATATATGAGATGACAGTATCTTTTGACATGAGGTAACGGTTGTCATAGACTTTCAGGATTTGGCTTCGTTTGGTTTAATTTTCTATGGAAACTATCCTATAATGGAAATTAGATTATTGAGGAAACAGGATTTTTGTTAAATGCTTTGAATGGAACCACCCTCAGCCCGTGACAGCTTTTTGCAGAAAAGTTGTGAAAGTGTTTCGTTAACCTCAAACTGTCTCTTTGTTATTTTTCTCCCAAAAGGAATCCAATGTTTGTTATTGCATAGTTCAGTATAAAGTGTGCCGCCCTGCACCAGTGTGATTCCCTGAGTGAGAGCTTCGGTCCCTCTTGTTGCCTGTGTGAGCTGAGCTATTGAGCAGCTGTGATGGGGAAATGCTCTTGTGCACCCCCTTGGGTAGAGTCAGTGCCTGAGATAAACTGACGGTAGCTGAAGCAAAGACAGTGTTGAAGTCAATGCAAAGAGGTTTTCACAAAATTTTAGTTGAAATTCTTCAGTTTCTCAGTGGAGGCAAGGATTGGTCTTCGCCAGAAATTTCTTCGTCTTTGGAGAGGTCTTTTTCTTCCCAATGACTATTTAGGGAGTTTGGAAGCAGTGTTGAATGCAGTATACTCTGCCCCTTTTCCTTCCTGCCCTTCCCAAGGCATTATAAGGTTTTGAGAGGAATGAGAAAATTATTTTTGAGCAAATATCATCATTTGGCGTTCTGCTATTTTTATGGGTGAGTTAAAAGGGCCAGTTGGCAGAGTCTGTGGACCTGAATGTTTGTAGAAAGGTAGAAGATAGTCTCAGTTTGCTGGCCTGCCTAAGTAGGCAGTGATCCCCTCACTCATTTGTTACGTTGGTCTGTGTATTTTCAAATAGCTCCCAATCATGTCGTTGTTTCTTTGAAACTTTTTTGGTGGTACTTATGACCTTTCCATTCTTATTAAGAGATTGCAGTTAAATACTACTTGATAATTGTGGGGGGAAAAAATATTCTTCTGACACAGGGTGCCCTGGATTTTTAGTAAGTCTTATGAGGATTTTTTGAAGATAGCTAAACACTCTACCCTTTTCTTGCTGTAGGATGTTGTACCTCAAGCCTTGCTGGATCAGTATTTATCAATGACTGATCCATCTCGCGCACAAACGGTTGATACCGAGATCGCCAAGCACTGCGCCTACAGCTTGCCAGGTGTGGCACTCACCTTAGGCAGGCAGAATTGGCACTGTCTGAAAGATACCTACGAGACGCTGGCATCTGACATGCAGGTAGGGTCAAGAAGCTCTGATAGTGAATGATTTGGAATTCTGTGATGTGACAAGGAATTATCTACGATGATTTCTCTTGTTTACTGAAAGTTAGGTTTCTCTGCTTTTTTTACGTTTTCCACTTCTTTTGCATTTTCCACTGCTGGTATTAGTTGCTCATATAACAAATGAAAGTGGAACGGTTGTCTCGGGGGAAGCTGGGTGTCCGTGGTGCTCAGGTAAGAAGGAAACGGGGCAGTTTGAGTGGGAGGCAGATCTCCAGTGGGAACGTGAGGAATGGTTTCCAGTTTATTCTTCTCACTGGAGATGACACTGCTTGGGATTCTTACCGGTACGAGAACTCGGGCTGTGCTGCTGTGCGTGAGCAGACATGTGCCCCTGGAGGCACGTCTGGAGCTCAGTGAGTCAGCCTCACGCCCGGCCTCTCAGTGCTGCACCCGGTTAATGCCTTGCAGCATTGCTGTTTTAAAACCCGATACTGGAAATAGCAGTATTTTCCTTGTTGTCAAGTGGTAAGGAGGTGGTTTTGTGCCTGTTACTGTTGGTTTACAGTTGTTTCCCAGTCCTCCCTCGTTTCCTTTTCTGGAGATGATATTTTTATTTTTTTAAACGTTCTCAGACTACTTGACCTCTCTTGAACTTGCTGCTTGCTGTCAGAGCAGCAGTTCTCAGTGATATGTAGTGAGTAATTTTATACGTGGCTATTGCTCAGATTTTCCAAACTCTTTTGCAGCCATTAAAAATAACCAGCTAATAAGTGTAAAACATAAGGAAAAACAAACTGCCCTGTATTCAAGACTGTCCAGAGTTTATCACCGGTCTAATCTGAATTAACATTGAATCACCAAAGCAGGGCAAAACAACAGGACCCATGTTAATTGGAAAGTGCTGGCTAAAGAATAGATGCTATTTTATTTTTAAAAAGACTTCCTTGAAATAGTGCTCCATTAAACGATGCCCTCTCAGTTTAGGGTGAGTGAAAGCTCTATTGGTCCTTGGACTGCTGGGCACTCAGTGTGGGTGAAACTTTGCCTATTATGGAAGCTAAAATATGCCAGCTGAAATATTATGGGATATATATCTTACACTATTTCACAAGTTACATGAGTGAGAGACTAGTAGTACAGAACTAATTCACCTAAAAGACTTCAAAGCAGAGAATAATGTACGGAGGAGTACTGTTGTCAGTTACTGACACCTGGAAAATTAAAATATTTTCATTACTTCTGTTTGCCTAGTTGATTGATATTCAGACAGAAGAAATGATACCTCGACATTTGTCTTACTGCCTTTCTTTTTCTTTTCCTCTCTTTTATTTCCAGTTTAATTTTCAGTTTTTACATGAGAAGAGTTGAATGTATTTTTAAGTACTGTAGCTTGCTGACAGTCCAGCTTGGATACTGACCCTCAAGCTAAAATACAGCACTTGAGATGATACATCAATAAAATTAATTAATTTATTTATTTTACAGTGGAAGGTTCGGCGGACACTAGCATTTTCTATACATGAACTTGCTGTAATCCTTGGAGACCAGCTTACAGCTGGAGATTTAGTTCCTGTTTTCAATGGCTTTTTAAAAGATCTTGATGAAGTCAGGATAGGTGTGCTCAAACACTTGCATGACTTTCTGAAGGTATGTCTGTGTTCAGCTCTGGTCAAGTGCAATTACATATTTTGCTTCATTTCTTTGTATGCACTTGTTTTTAGCGTAACACCGGTATAATTTTGTCGGAATCCATACAGATGTCTGTTGAATGCTAGAGTGTATTTTTGCAGGAGATCTGTGTTGCTGATCTGTGTTACTTTCTTTTCACTGAAGAGGCTGGTTTGTGCATGTTTATTCAATGTATAGGTGTCAGTAGATGGTATTAAGTTTTTTGATGGCTCTGATGTCTCTATTCTTCTCAAACTTCTAAATTTCTTCTGGAATTTTTCTGTAACTGTCTCATTTTTGGAGCTGAAAGACGCAAATCTTAAAACCTTTAAAAGCAATACTATCTGTACTGCTTACACTTCCTGTTTCCTACAGTAAAAGTAGGGACTAGATCAGATTTTGAGTTTGGTAGTGCCCCGTGTGATTTTACAGACTTAAGCGTGATAGGATTTAGCTCAGGAAAGCAACTCTATTGTGAAGATTCCTTAGAAGGAAAAAATTTACAAGTGCTTCATTAGTTGCATTTTAAGGCTTGTGTTCTGTCTGCTGATTGTACCCTACCTTTCTCTATGTAACTTTATTGTTGCAGCTTCTTCACGTTGACAAAAGACGAGAGTATCTTTATCAGCTTCAGGAATTCCTAGTGACTGATAAAATGGCGTTTTCGTGCTGAGCTGGCTGAGTATGTAGTCTTCTGGAAGCTTGTTTTTATTGTTATGGGTATTTAAAAATGTTAAAATCTTACATGTTTTACTGTGATGATCTTCATTTAATTTTTAATTAGTGGGTAGTCATTTTTCTTTAGTGTATATAAAAGTGGATGAGCACTTGTCCCACTTATTAAATATTCTCAGCAGTTGCATATCATTTATAACAGTTGGAACTTGAGTGTCTCTTCCCATCACCATACGTTGAGAACGTTACCCTTTCATAAAAAAGAAGCTGCCAAAAGAGAAGGTCATATCTGGTTGCTCTTGAAGTCAATGGAAGTATTCTAGCAATTTGACTTCAAGTTGCTGTATTTAAGAGTAGGCTGAATTCGTGACCGTGAAACAGAGGAGAACGAGATCTTTAGGGGAGAGTAAAGAAAGTGAGTAGCAGGGTAGCGAGTTTTGACTTAATTTGAACAGACTTTGGCTTTTTCATGGATGTAGTACGTAGGAGCCTATGGAAGGCAGCTCTGAAGGGTCAAGCTGGTCAGGAAAACTAGCAGAGGAAGGAACTTGTGAAATTCAACAAGGGCAAGGTGCCAAGTCCTGTGTGTGGGAAGGGAGAGCCTCTGACAGGGGGACAGACTGAGGACTGGCTGCCCTGGGAGCAGCTCTGCTGGAAAGGGCCAGAGTATGGCGTGAGGACAGTGAGCTGAACGTGAGCAGCACAGTGCTGGGCTGTATCAGCAGGGGCACAGCCAGTGTATCAAGGGAACAGATTAACCCCTTCTAGGCAGCACTCGCTAGATGTCATCTGGAGCTGTACATCTATACCAGTGCAGGAAAGATGCTGCTGAACTGGAACAAATTCAGCAGCCGGCAACCAAGATGATCAAGGCTGCAGCACTTAGCCTGTGAGGGGAGACTGTGCAACCAGGGCTTTGTTGAAGATAACTGATCGTTTCTCTAGTTGCCCAGTACTCCAAGGTAGTAACAGTTTATAGATTTGATAATCAGGGTACTTAAGTGACCAAAGATACTTACCAGACTAAGTCAGGGTAGTAGCTTTGTAGCTGTACATGTGTCCTATGTGTGAGAAGTATTTACCAGGTACTTGGATGTACGTGCGCACTGTGGTGTCATTCACAGTGGGCTCGCTCTGCTGCACGTGCAGTGTAGCCATTGCCAGGTCCCTCTGCCTCTCCTCTAGTTTTTCACTTGAGGTTATGCAGCATTTTGCTGTTTTTCTAAATAAGCATCGATTTGAACTTTGCAAGTTGACCCATAGTCAAACTTACAGCATTGAAAAATAGATTTTGCTTTCAGAAACTTTACTGTGGCCACATTGCATATTTGGCAAGTGTTGCCATAGTCACAGTTAAAGTCACCTTTCATCTTCTTATAATATGTTCTCTGTTTGGTTTTTCTTCTGTCTTGTAGGCAGCTGATCTTGCTTCTAGATCTGTACAGTGCCAGAGACATTTATGACTACTTGCGACCTATTGCGTTCAGCCTCTGTGCAGACAAAGTGTCTTCTGTCCGTTGGATTTCTTACAAGCTGGTAAAGCAATCTAAGTAAATTCAGGGTTTCAGACTTCTGAGGGTTGGTGGTCAGAAGTAATTTTTGTTTTTTCTTTCTTCTCATTTCTTCAAGGTTAGTGAAATGGTAAAAAAGCTGTATATGGCTTCAACATCAACCTTTGTGGTAGACCTCATGAATGAACTTGTTGAAAAGTTCTGTAGATGCAGCAAGTGGTCTGGTCGGCAAACTTTTGTCTTTATTTGCCAGGTGAAATGTCTTTTTTTTTTTGGTTTTTTTTTGTTTTGCAGGGTGGTGATGGTTAAGAATTAAGGGGGCAGGGGATGATAGCAACTGGAACTCTTCAGCTGCCTACTGACACTGTTTTCAGGAATGTTTGAGAATTTTGTTTCCAAGGCAATGGGTTTCAAGGCTGCTTTTTTTCAATGTTGCTCCACAGATGAACTTGAGTGCATCTTTAGCTCAGCATATTAACATTAGGTTGTTGAATCTGATGTTGAATATAAAACAAACACATAGCAAAATAGTCTCTGAGTTGGTAGCCTCCCCTGTTGCTCAGCATGAAGTGAGATTTATATAATATGCTGCAGCAGCCTACTGCTTCCTATAGAAATGAGACACTAGAAGTTGCCTTTACCTCCTGAGCCAAGTAGTGCAGTGTGGCCAAAACCAATATATTCTCAGCGAAATAAACAGAAGAGTTGAAACTAGCTGTGGCCTCAAGGAAGTGGTCAAGTTTTGAGGCAGACTGGGAGCCAACATGCCTGCTGCCTAGGTGGGGCAGTTCTTTGAAGTATTTGGAGAAATAATAATAGTCAGTTTTGAGCTTATTTAGAGAAACATGTCTGAGTCCAACAGATGTTTATTGAGGTGGACCATTCTTGTCTTAATATAGAGCTCAGGTAAAGCAAAGACTAAATCAGTCCTGAAAATTATTAGGAAGGATTTCTGCTTTTCTTTGTTTCCAAGTGATAACAGTGATTAAAAAAAAAAAATATTATCAGACTTCATACAAAATAAAATGAGCTTCTAAGTGAGCCTGAATTTCCTCAGCCCTAACTTGCTTCCTTGTGTACAACTTTTGTGCTAGAAAGTACTGTACCATATTTTAAAAATTTGTGGATATTACATACTGTATTCATGCTATGAAGGTAATGAGATGCTAGCTCTGATGATGTATTGAGATTTTATCCTCACTGTGCTGAAATCTAACGAAATGGCTTCTGTCTTCTTGCCAGACTATCAGCGAAGATGACTGCCTGCCCATGGACCAGTTTGCTGTGCATCTGTTGCCACACTTACTGCACTTGGCATCTGACAGGGTTCCAAATGTTCGAGTCCTGCTGGCAAAAACGTTAAAGCAAACCCTTTTAGAGAAAGGTTAGTGGCAGAAGGAGTTGCAGTGGGATGACTGTGTATCTTTTTGTCCCTCTGCTTTCTCATAGTCAGCTGGGAAAGGAGGAGCAACATCAGATGTGGATTGCTCTTGCTTTTACAGTCTCTTTGGTATGGGATGTTACGATGAGCCGTGTTGTGGTAACAGAGCCACCGCTGTGTAACGTGGAAGAAATAAGAGTTCTTGCTCATATGTTAGCCTGTTCTTTTGGTACCATTTTCCCTAAGTGAGCTAGTTTGTAGAGGTGTCATCAGGGCACAGAAAGCACAATTTAACAGCTAGCAACTGTGAAGCTGTTGAGCGGTGCTCTTTATTTGGTTAAAAAGAATTTCTGTTGATGTTCTCTGTAATAAGAAAGAAAAATCATTCCATACAAATCCACCATCTGTTTTCTCAGTGGGGTAGAAGAGATGGCTAGTGTTTGTTTTTTATATTTTATGGTAGCATCGGGAAGAAAGTTTCCCTGGAGTCCCTTCAGAGAAATTAGACGTGCAGCTTTCACGTTGTAAGCTTCACTTAGGAAAGGTTTCCTGGTGCAGAGCAGATGCCGGAAGAGTCAGCAGTGCTCAGAGTCCAAAGCACCATAAAGGAAAATAGCACTAGAAATATTAACGCTGTTTTGTAAACCAGCAGAGTGTCCAGGCTTTGAATACCTCATCCAGTGACCAGTTCTAGTCACTCTTTCTTGAAGCCAGACACTGCTTTGAGGACTGCTGTTTCTAGCATAGAGAGTGTGAAGAAAAATGCAGAACGTTCAAAACACTGGGCAATGCAAAGGGTGCCAAGGCAGCGAGAACTGGCTAATTGCTAGCTCTCTTCTGCATGCTGGAGACTCTGAGCAGGCACATGTAGACAGTTAGGATGGATCAGGTGATGCACAATAGTTTACCCCATTAACTGTGCCAAGGCTGCCACTGTTCTTCCTGTTACCATGTAGTATTGGTATTTTTGTTGTTGTCCTTGTGATTTTTGTGTTCCCCACCTGGATGGTCAATCTCTATTCTCCATTGCCACGGAGTAAGCTTATAATGTAGGTGATCCCTGCCTCAGAGATGCTCGGTTTACGATATGGGATGGTGGATGGATTATTAAAGGCAGATTTTAAAAAGAAGTTCAGAAGTTTAAAAAACTTCTCAGGTCTACATTGGTCTTCCTATGACCTGTTTGTAGTTACACTGCTTTTATGCAACTTGTATAGATCGCAAAATCTGTCAGATATCAGAACTTCTTCCACTCTTACTTCATTTGATCTTAGTTTTTTTCTTTGATGATTACCTGGCAGGCGTGCCAGTGAAATCGAGTGGCATTGCCATGGGTTTGTGATATCTGCTCTCCATCACAAATAGAAGCACGCTCTTTCTGAGTCTCTTCTGGGTTTTTTATTCCTCCGTGGTCATGGACATGTCACACTTACATACTGAGGGACCAGCAATCCTGTGCTCAAACAGCACTGTTAGAGCAACTGTGCCCTGAAACATGGAATGATGTTTTTGTTTTTTCAGGTGAATTCATAGGTATATTCAGAAGTGTATTGTGTCCCTGCTTAGCTATTCCAGTCTGACTATACCTGTACACTGTCTCCTGAAATTTTGAATCTAGTATGATAGTATGATGGGGTTGTGCTGTCTTTTCCTTCTATAAGTCTTGTGCGTTTTCTCTTACAGAATATTTTCTAAACTCTGCCAACTCGCATCAAGAAGCTGTGGAACAAACAATTATGGTGCTTCAAATGGATGATGACAGTGATGTTAAATATTTTGCGAGCATACACCCTGCCAGTACCAAAATTGCGGATGATGCCATGAGCACTGCTTCATCAACTTATTAAACAGTTCTGAATGTTGCTATAATTTAAAAAAATAATTAAACAAACTATCCTCAAATGCTTCTAAAATGGTTGATCTAGGACAACCTCTTTGGAAGGAGAGATTTCTTGCCAGATTTACCAGGTGGATGCTATCTATACCTGATACCAGGGATTTTAAGTCAAGAAAAAGTAAACATACCTGTGTCAGCTTGACTTTAGCAAAACATTGCTCAGAGGATTATTTTTGCCACCGAAGCCTTAAATCTTCTGTCTTCCTGAACAAATGAAACTTGAATTGGCAGATCATTTTCATTGTAGAAAGGATGTGACTTCCAGAGACCTGCATTGTTTCTCCTGAGGAGTTAACTTAGCAAGTATTTTCTGTAGCAACTGATAGACGAAATGGCCAGAGAGGCAAATTTATACCGGGACGTAAGGCCTCCAGTATTAGCGCTAAAAGTTTTTACCATTTGAGGACTTGATTTGTGTGCAGCTGGGCACACCCTTAAGTGGGAATAGCTCTGTTGTTTGTAAATGGGGAAAAGTAGAAATTTGGATTTCTCTTAAGGGCTCAGTGCTAACACTAAACTAGAATTTGATTTTAATCCTTAAATGCAGCATATTGCTGTACCCATTAGCAGAAAACTTTGCTGAGTACCTGTGTCCTAATTATTTTCATGCTGGTCATGACCTAAAGGAAATTTATTAGCACATGTACTTTAAGTCAGGTATTTTTAACTTGATCATGATCAGCTCTGAGGTGCAACTTTTTTCTTCATATACTGTACATATCTGTGAGCCTCCTTGGAGTGCTGCAGTCTTTAATCATGTTGTTTAAAGCTGTTGTGATACAAGTTGTTCTTTACTTGTCCAAATAAAATTTATTAATAAGATTGAAAGCAATCTTGTGACCTTTTTAAAACATTAAAAGAATAAGTTTGAAATTTAAGTGGCCTTTTTTCCTAGTTCTTTACACTTGTGACAGCTGTTGCAGGGGGAAGGGGCTTGCTTAATGATAGTGAAGAATTTTGCATTTTGAGATGGAATATACTGCAGCACAGTTGTACTTGGGCCACATAATTGAACTTTTGCAAGTATCTTTGTTGGGCTTGGGAGCCTGTCACTCCAGAGTGAAATGGTATCTTTGCTGCAGTGACAGGGAAATACTCACCTCAGTCTAGATTTTACAGGGAGCTGTGAGGTCTTTTAAACTGCCCCTAGTCTGCCTTCCATTGACTGCTTTGGTTTCCTCTCATTTCACATGACTGATACAGTGTCTCCTTCCGTGTCTTCCAGGGACAACTTCCTTAAATCTCCTTTCCTCCAGCCTGCTGA